TTGTAAATAGTAATTATTGTGCATTTTTTGGCTACAAAATTGTTCCTAGTTAAAATTGTTCAGTAATATTTTTTGGGTCGTTTTGAGGGGCGGTGAATCCATTACTAATATATATTCATAAAAATTTACTCTCAAAAACTGACATAGTAGGCCTTGTATTTTGTAAAAATATATTGTTTTTGCTCAAAAACTACAGTTTATTAAGATCCCCACTTTAAAACAAATCCGGTTAAAATGGCACAATAAATAAATATTTTACAGGGGCGAGTCGCAAACAAATGGGTCACACTGTATGTCATATATTCGAAATATTTTAGAAAAAATAATTTACCTCTGTATACTTATTATATTTAATGTTATTCCAAAAACGTTGTGTTAATACTTTTTTTATATTTGTTTATTAAAATGGTTATTTGTGCCTCAAATGTTAACTATTTTTAATAATTTAAAATAGAAATTGGTGTTGTTTATTAAAATTAAGTAGACATATATTTTAAATTAATTTAGGATTCTTTAAAAAAAATTGAGTTGTCAAGAGGAGCAATTTTATTTTTTGTTTTCTGATCAAAAACATTTTGAACAATAATAATAACCACATGATTTATAAGCAAATAATAGGCTTGTTCTTACTATACCGAGCATTTGGACTGTCAAATGGACGTCACAGACATGCGCAATAGTAAAACCGCGACCATGTTTTCGTATTGCGCATGCGATTTTAGTATTGCGCATGACGTCCATTCGGCAAATGCTCGGTAGGAACAAACCTAAAAATATATTAATTTAATTTCCAAGTTTAAACAAAAATCCCATTTACTTAAGAACGGTTGGAAATATTCAAAAAGGATTTTTAAGTTTTGAAAATAAGTTGGAAAAATCATTAAGAAAAAATATTTTTCCTTTTTTTTAATAAAAAATATTTTTTTTCTTTGAAGCTCAATAGAGCTTAGACTAGTTTATTAAAGACATGACCAATTTTATGTAAACACAAAGCCAAATATTAATTTTAAAATACTTCTGACACAACTAACAATATTCCAACTTAAACAGTATTATAGTAGTAGATTTATAAACAATATTTTTTATTAAACCAAATTAAATAGATCTACTTGCTACGTTAAAAAATATAAAAGTACATGGCTTTAATTTTATTGTAAATAGTTGATGAATTTGTATTGGAAGGTATATTTTTAGAATCCCAGTAAATTATTCAGAAACTATTATCGTAAGTTTGTTTGTAAAAGTACTTGAGACTGAAGATTAAGAAATGCATTTCTGGAAAAAATATTTACAACATTCATGAATGTTGTAAATATTTTTTCCAGACCCAACGTCAGTTTTATTTGTTTTTCATTTTACAATGTGATATATTTGCTGCTTAAAATTATTTAAAATTAGCATACATTAAATAATTTGTATCTATGTTAATTAGTTATTGTTCATGGCAAAAAGCAAATTTGTACTTAATGTTTAGTTTTTATATTTTAACTTTGTTGCTTTTGCAATATTTTATATATTCTTGCCAGTTAACTTTATTTATAAATTTTTGTATATTTGTGCAGTTTTTATTTACATTTATTTTATAGTTTGCTTTTGACAATCATTGTTAAATAGCTGTTGGATTAGAATGTTTGTAGTTTAAGGGGTTATATACAGTTAGAAGGCCGAAAAAAAGTGAATTTTTCAGAAGTTTTTCTGAGAAAACTTTTAAATTTATTGATCCAAAAATTTATACACATATTATGGTATCTTTTAACTATATTTTAAGACTTAGTACTAGTAAAAATATTTATTTGGAAAAGAGCTACAGCTGATCTCCGGATGCTCCTCTCAAAAAAGACGTTTTGCGGTGACCACTATAACTCTGAACTGGATCATCTGAATTTAAAAAACCAAACAGATTTCGTTAAAGTAATGTTTAATCTAGTAATTAATCGAAGGAATAAGCAAAATAAAATTTTTTGACAAAATGGCGGTTTCTCAAAAAAAAAAAATCGATTTTTCACCGAAATTTCGGCCTTAAATTGTTTATAAAAACAAAAATATTTATCGGAGAGAAAAAATCTTCGATTAATTACTAAAAAATATATTTAAGAAGCTCGTGTTAAAATTTGAGACTAATCGGTTTAGCCGTTTTCGAGTAATGTTGGTCACCGACTTTGAAAACACCATTCAGAGAAAAACGCGTTTAAAGTTTGGAATGCAGTTTACATGGAATACAATTTTTTATTTTTTAAATTACATGGAGTCGTCTATTACAGACCAATATAATACACCCTGTTCACACTGTTGATTTACACATCTAAATACATTAGAAGGGAGCATTTACAAGGCAGGTGCATAAAAGGGTAGTCGCTGCCTCTCCGGCCTTGTACTTCCAAGCACTCTGAAACGCCTTTTCAAATTTGTGTGTAACTTTGAAAATATTCACCGGAACGATATGAAATTTTCTGTGTGTATTCTTAAATATATGTACATTAAGAAAATAAAATAAAAAAAAATTCGGTGTTTTGAAAATTCTAACTGTATGTAACCCCTTAAACAAGTCAAATGTATTAATTACAGATAATCGTAATTAATTTTATTTGACTACATAAATTAATATTGTTATATCTTAGAACTAGAACTGACTTTGATCATAAAATTAATATACTAATATTTTATTAAATTTATTACACCACTTAAATGACTACATTCTATTAAAAAAAGTGGATAAAAATGTTTTGGAGATTATCCAGTTCTAAGAATATTAAAACAAAAATGGATTGTTTTTAGCAAATTACCATTAGTATTGTTTTTATTGGTGTACTGTATTTGGTAGTATGCAAATAAATAAGCAGACTTTTTTATTGTTTGTTTAATTACAAGATAAACTTACCTGTACATAAAAGTACCTAATGGATTTTTCAAACTTCATTAAGTAGTAATTAAAATTATAAAAAACAATTGAAATTAAATATTGTATGTTTTTTAAATTAAAACGTACCAGTACTAAAGTTTGACAAAAAAAATCTCTTTAAAAATGTACACCAAAATATTTTAAGTTTAAATGAAAATAAAGTTTTACTTTGAATAAATACTGTTTAAATTACATATACAGGATGTCCCAAAATTGCCAGCCCAAAGGGTAGAGTTGAATTTCTTTTAAAATTCCAAAACAAATTTTTCTTTGTAATTTTTTTAAATTCGCTTTAACGGACGATCCCCAACTTTTGGCTCCCTGGTTGCGAGAACCACATACTATAAGTATGTGGCGACAATATGCATCAAATTTATTTTTGTTTATAAGTATACTTTTTACGAATTAGCCTTTTTTGTTAACACAAAAAATATAAGCAAATCTTATCCAATACAGCAGGAACACTGCACTCTCATAATAAAAGTCTGGCTTTAAAAATTAAATAAATTCTGTTATTTTGCGAATTTGAAAAAATGTTAAAGGAAGTTCGTCATGGAATTTACCTTTAACCTTTGAGCATCCAATTTTAGAACACCCTGTATATAATGCAATTAAATAAAAAATCTGCAAATAGAATATTTATTTATTAATAAAAAACAAAATTTGGCTTTAAAAAATAAAACCGACATGTCGCGACAACCAGATTTAGTATTCTAATTTCTAGATTATCTTATTAAATTACGTTGTTTTCCCCAATTGGCGATTTATTATTTATTGTTAATCAAACAAACTTTACTTAGGGAAAACCCAATTAAATTTTATATGAATTGCGATAATTTTTTTGTATTTTGATAATTTTTAAACTTTCTATGAAAAGTAATTTTTAATCAGAGAACTGCAGTAGTATCATGCATGCATGCATTCTTTGTCCCCTTCTAGTGTGCGGTAAAGAATGCTGTTATTTGATTTGTTAGTCACTTCTTTAGACCTTATAACCAGTGGCATATAAGGTATAAGGTCACTTCCGATATAAACCACATTTTATAGAGAGTAAAGTTTTTTACAAGAAGACTAGATCACAAAGCATAATATGTTACGCCAAATAGAAATCCCCGCAGTGAAGACTGCAGATGCAAATTGCTTTGTATATCTTCCAAAAGATGCATACGGTTGTTTTTGGTAATCAAACTCATATTTATAGGTATCAGTTTTGATCGAAAAATTGGTTGGCCGCAGTAAATAACACAATTAATTAATTCACCAAGTGTAACCGTTTCTATAAAAATAATAAAACAAATTTAAGCGAAAAAGCATAATATTGTGGATTTGACAAACGTCATTTTTTGAAATAGTCCTTTGTTCTTCATTGCTTTTTTTTCCTAAAAATTATTGTATACAATAATTGTTTATCCTAAAAAGACAAATGAATATTTTGCAACGTTTTATGTTTTGACATTTCTTACAATAATTGTATTAGGAGATTAGGAAGGGGGGTTATTTGAATAACCGGTTAACGTGAAATAATCGGTTAAAACAGGATATTTTATAATTCAGCATTAATGGCGTCGACCTATATCCGAAAATCAGTTATTTTGCAAATAAAATATTTTTTTACTGTTAGGATTTCAATTTGTCGTTGCATATTTTTAGGCAAATTAAAATATTAATAATTATTAATAATTAGAATTTTTCGAATCCAATTATAATTGGATTCGAAAAATTCTTTACAAGACTTCTTAATTCTTGCTTTTATGGATTTTCCTGTAAAATTTTATCAAAATAATCTACTCCCTCCTCACTAACAATTTTTTTTAATAACCGGTTCTGGTTATAAAAGGTTATATTCATAAAGGTTATTTGGGTTAGATTATTTTTTAAATTAATTTAACCGGTTATATTTTAATAACCGCCCATCCCTAATAGACATTGGCTAAGACACTCACAAACACAGAGCGCACTACCATTTTGCGCATCGGTAGGTTACTACTAAGTAGTACTTAGTAAGTACCTTTTTTGGCGTGCCCCCACCTAGCAAGTTATTGCCTCTTTATAGATTTTTTGTTTTTTTTTTTAACAAAATTAAGCTAATTTTTTTTAATAGTTCATGATAGAGGCTGACTGGCCGGGTCAGATAGGAATATGCGAGCCTCGAAGGGTGGCTGCCATATCTCTGGCAAACCGGGTGGCTGACGAAACAGGAACTTTTGTGCAGGGGGACACAGTGGGCTATGCTGTTAGATTCGATGCTTGCACTAACAAACCCAAAATTAAGGTAAGAAAAAAATCGATATTTACTGTATAACCGTATAAACACATCCTATTTTATTTGTGAAGATAAATAATTTTAAATTTCGTCAACACTCGACACTAAAGTAATTGATAAGGCATAAGCACTTAATTCAGCAATAAACAGACAAAAACTTTTAAGTTAGTAATTAGTTGTTGGGCTAGGGGGGGCAAAACTTTCACCCTGGCAGTGAAACTCGAAATAATTTAAAATTTAATATATTTTTTAATATAGCATTTAATAAAGCAGTTTAAGAAATAATTGTCTTGTCTAATATTTTTTTTAAATGCAAAGACTTTTTTGTATTATTTTCTAAAAAGCAAACTTTTTTTTTCGAGTAAAATTTGAATAATTCACAGAAACGTTTTGAAACCAATAAAAACGTTTCTGTAAATTCTTTAAATTTTACCCCATGATACAATAAATAAAAATTTCAGTTAAATAAAAGAGGGTTAGGTTACACATGCTTTTTGAGTACAATGGCACATGTTTAAATTTTAAATGGATTTAAGAATTATTTGTCTTTATTTAAAGAAAATAGGTGAAAAGTTGTTTTTTAGTTATAAGTAATATATTTTATCTCCACGCGGTCTATAATTTAAACTTTATTGTTGTCAACATTCGATAAAGAAATACCTTGTTATGGCCTAGGCCGATAAAAATTTTTATGAGGCAAGTAATTAGTTCGATTTTTTCTCGCTAGGGGTATTGTTTTGACAAATTAATCCCTTTCTAAGAAATTAACGTACTAAACTGATTTAATTTATTTATAATTAGCACTAATTTGTTTGTTTTGCTGTTAATGTTTAATATTTTTCATTAAATTATTGTAAAATTAAATATGAATAATAAAACAGAAAGTGAGGTTAGGCAACCAAGAAAACGCACGATTCTTTTTCTACGATTTAAATTATCTTTAAGTTTTAATTTGCTTTAAGTTTTCAGTGAAATTAAATGTTAAACACAGCTTAAAAATTCCAAACTACTATTTTTTAAATAAAAATCCAAACAAATTGAAATTACATATGTACCTACCTATTTATTAGTGCTGTACAATTTAGCCGGTTAAGCCGGCTAAAAAAGTTAGCTAAGTTAATTAGCTAGCTAACTGATCAGCTTAGCTAATTAGCTGGCGACTTAACCGGCTAAACGGCTAATTAGCTGAGCTAAGCTAGATTAACCGGTTAAGCCGCCAGCTAATTAGCTAAGCTAATTTAGTTAACCAGTTAAATTAGCTAAGCTGATCAGTTAGCTAGCTAATTAACTTTGCTAACTTTTTTGGCCGGCTTAACCGGCTAAATTGTACAGCCCTACTATTTATTAAACAAATAATTGAATTCAATGTAATAGCAAAAATCCATTTCTACTTAAATCATGTTGCTAGGTATTGTCAAACTATTACTGCTTCAAAAAGCAATAATAATTATTGTACGTTTTATGTAATCTTTAGCTAATAAATAAATGAGATTCTAAAAAAGTGACGTTAGGCCGCTTTGATGTTGAATTAAATTGACCTATATAAAGTGCTTTGAAGATAAAATGTTGTATGCCATTTGGCCAAGAAGTGCCTTTTTGTGCTTCGCTCAATTGTAGGCCTCCGCTACGCGTCGGCCTTCAAACCTTGAGCTTAGCACAAAAAGCCTTACTTCTTAACCTAATGACATAAATAACTATTTTTTAAGGATTGAAATAAATTAATAATATATACTTTGTAATTGTATTTTTAAGTATATGACTGAGGGCATTTTAATAAGAGAAATGATGACAGACCCCCTTATGAAAAACTATGCTGCCATAATGTTGGATGAAGTACATGAAAGAAGCATGTATACAGATATTTTAATGGGACTTATGAAGAAAATCCTGAGGGTAATTATATTATAATTACAAGACATTTTAAATTAATAATATGTATTTTAATTTAAGAAACGGAGGGAATTAAGATTGATAGTAACTTCCGCCACCTTAGATGCTAAGGAACTGCATGATTTTTTTAATGAGAATAATACTGGGAACCCCAAAAAAGATACAGCTGTTATCATGAGTGTAGAAGGAAGGCAGTTTCCTGTAGAAATATATTATGCTGCAGGTATTAAAATTCAGAATTCAACTTGAAAAAAATCGTCTTAGAATAAATACAGATTATAGCCAGAAAGAATAGTTTGAATCGCATGTTCTTGCTAAACACATCTCAAGAAATTTTCTCATCAAATTACTTGACCCATTTAAAATCTTTATTTATTGTGCGATTTTAACCGGATTTGTTTTAAAGTGTAATTCTTGATAATTGTGTCTTTGTAGCAAAAAACGCCATATTTTTACAAAATACAAGGCCTACCATATAAGTTTTTGAGAGTAAATTTTTAAGAATTTATATTAGCGATCTTAGCACGGCAACTGGATTCACCACCCCTTAAAACGACCCAATACTAAATTTTATTGAAAAGTAGAAACGATTTTGTAGCCAAATTAAAAATGAACAATAATAACTATTTCCAAAAATTTATTCTGTCAATTTTTCCAGGAAAAAATTGAAATAAAATTAAATTAACCCTTCGTTGGGCGCATAATGCTGACCACCACATTCGGGCTCAATGTGCCTGATGCGCACGCTTAAAAAAAAGACGTAATTAAGTTAAGGAGATATTTAATTTATTTTGAAAAATATATTTTTGTATTGGTAATTATATAAAAACAAATAAAAAATGCATAATAACATTTAAAATCGACAAAAACATATTAAAAAAAAAAAATTATAATTTTATTTTATAATTTTTGTTTGCAAAACTTCAACTATTTGAGTTAGATATTCCTATGACAAATAAAAAACGCAATAGAAACTTAAAAACACAATAAAACAAAAAATTCTAGTGTATTGAATTAAATGGATTAATCGAGGTAACGAAAATGTAATTGTAGAGAATTTTTGGAATTCACTATTTTTTTGTTTCATTGTTTTAAGTTTCTATTGCGTTTTTTATTTGTTAAAACTAAGCATACGAATATTTACACCATGTTACTATTAGTTTAATTTTATTTCAGTTTGTTTTATGAATGACTAAACAATAAATTTTTGTAAATAGTAAGTAATTAATGTGCATTTTTAATTTAGCTACAAAATCGTTCCTACTTAAAAATTTTCAATAAGTAAAGTATTTTGTGGGGTGGTGAATTCAGTGATAATCGCTAATATGAATTTTTAAAAATTTAATCTCAAAAAATGACATAGTAGGCCTTGCATTTTGTAAATATATGGTGTTTTTTGCTCCAAAAATACAGTTTAACAAGAACTACACTTTAAAATACATAAAGATTTTACAAGGCTGAGTCACAACCAAAAGAGTCACACTGTATATAATATAAAATATATTCTATATTTTGCATTGTTTCCTTTTAGAACCTGTTCCTTGCTATATTCAAGCCTCAGTGGACACAGCTGTTAAGATCAACAGCTCAAAAAGCGAAGGCGACATTCTTATATTCCTGACAGGTCAAGAGGAAGTAGATAGAGCTGTTAGATTGCTAAATGAACATGCGGCAATAATAGAAAATTCCAACGGTAAAAATAAATTGGAAGTGTTGCCCATGTACGGATCGTTACCGTATCACGAGCAATTGAAAGTTTTTAAATCTGCACCCTTGGGTCACAGAAAAGTTGTTGTGGCCACCAATGTTGCCGAAACTTCGATTACTATACCTGGAATAGTTCATGGTTAGTATATTTACCATTTCCTTTTTTATTTGAGTATGAGTATTAGAACGTATGGCTGGCCCCATCCGCATCGCCTTAGAATGTCCCACACATTTTGGTTTTTGGGGGACATTAGACTGATCCAAAACTAAGTACAATCCTGAATCCCCCTCAACCAGGGATTTAGTAATACCCCCATTCAATTGTGAATCATGAATGGGGCTTGGTTTGTTAGTATGCTACTATGACCCAACCCCAAGCAACCAACATATCCTTGCTGGTCTCGTAGTATTTCCTGTTCATATGTGTCCATATGAGTCTGCTGAAAATAGGAAAATGCTGCATGCAAATGTTTGCCCCACTGTGCGAAACCATTTCTTCAGTCTTGAGTTAGACCACCATCGATAGATAGTTTTCGTTGGTCGGTAATGCAACTACCGATCTTTATCGATATTTTTTAAATTTTTCTTTTTTTTTTCTTTTTAATGTTTATTTCCGAAGTAATGTGAAATTATAATAATTCTGGTTAATGTGTGGCCCGAGTGTTCCGTTGTCTACGTTTTGTTAATACACTGTATTACGTTTTCTGTTGTTCTTTTCTAGGAATTAAGTTAAGTTGCATTTATATTTTAATTAATGCTTGCTCTTGACATTGTTTTTGTTTAAATATAAGGCTATTACTTTTGGTTGGTGCCTGCAAGTTGTTAGGCAAAGTTAGGGACTACTTAAGATTTATGGGTTTGAGTTTTTAAAGTGTATGCTTATTCTTTTTTTGGTCTAACTTGCTTTGCTGAATAGGCAATAGGCATTAAAATAATGATTTATTATTCTCTGTCCACCTCTTTTAGTGTTTTTGTATTATATCATTGTATTTTCGTTGTTTCTCGGGATTTTTCTACGTGAGAAGAAATAAACACGAAGGCTTGGTAGGCTTGGTGAATTTCGGAATTACGAGTTTTTAGTATTGGATATTTCCATTGTAACGGGTGCGACACTAAAAATGCGTTTTTTCATGATAATAAAGTGTTTGTTCATATCAAGATACGTTAATATAAAAAATAGTATGCAAAATTAGGTATTTAACTCAAACTAAATGTCAATAAAAACTTGCATAGAAAACCTTTTATAACGTCATGAATAGCGTAACGGGCGCGACCTTAGAAAATCGGCAAAGGCGACCAAGTTGGCTTCTAAAGTTGATACTGTAAAATTTTGGATAAAAGCATATAGTAATAATTTTTTGGGTAAAACTTTAATAGTAACCTTAAACAAGCACGTATTTTAAATGCAAAAAATTGCATACTTTATTTTCTAAAATTTTCACAAAATGTAACCGGTGCGACATTTGAACATTTTATCGAGTATTGAAACTCTCCGTATTTATTCTTAATGTTAGCTTCATAGCATCACAATGCACAATCACAACCTTTATAATCTGTGTCACAATGTACGAAGGTTATAAATTACGTCGAAATTAAACTATTTGACTTCAGATATAGTTGTTATTTTGTTAAATAACACATCAGATTTTTTGTGAAGGTGGGGTAAGGTTTCGTGGAAATACCCTATTGCGAATAGCGTCATGCAAATATTTTTAAAATACTCATCCGAATTTCGCCTTGTTTCCTCGAGCTTGATATCGTTCAAGTTCCCGCCACACTGAACCACCTGTTTCTGGCAAGGATGACACTTCGTTCTGGTCCGTGGTGTGTTTATGCACTTTGGGGTCGCGGAACTGTAGTCTGTTGAGCAACACTTTATAGGTATTCTGGATTTAAAATGCACTGTTTATAGCCGCTATGGTTGCATTTTGTAGAGCGAAGACGTCTGACGGGTACCAGTGATACTGTCTTACCTTTTCCTTTTTTATTTAAAGGAAAAAATGTAAGCAAAAAAGATTTAAATTATCTAACCTTTGTTATACCAAAAAAAATTTAAACAGGCGAAAAAACTATTTTTTTTTGAAAAAAATATGAAATTTTTATTTGTAGGTATTGCCCGAATTTATAGAAAAATTGACTTTTGCATTTATTGTTTTATTATAGGTACTACGGATAATACAAAAAAATGCAAAAGTCAATTTTTCTGCAATTTTTTTTGTTTAAAATGCTAGTAGTGTTTTAAAGGTTCGAAAAAAACGTCATAATTTTACGAATTTATTTCATTGTTACGATAAAACTTAAACAAAAGAACCAACCCAACACTTTTCAACAAAGGAATATTCATTTAATTACATAGGTATTATATTATATTATCGTTGAGTGAAATCAATGGTATTATATTATCATAGCAACATGATGGAAACGCTCTGGGAATTATACCGATTCACAGTGTACGTCAAATTATGTCCCGCCTCGGAAAACATTTTTTTCAAGGTGTGGAAAAAAGCCTTTTTTAAATTTGATTGAAAAAAGTTATGAACAGCCTTACTAAGTAAAAATAATACCTTTATAAATTACACAAAAAATGCTCCTTTCATTAATGTATATTATTTTTTTAGTTATTGATTGTGGTTTTGTAAAAATGAGATGGTTCAACTGTGAAACGCACACGGACAGTCTAATAACTTTACCAATAAGCAAATCTTCAGCTGATCAAAGAGCTGGCAGAGCTGGAAGAATGAGAACAGGAAAAGTGTTAAGGTATGCCTGCATACAAGCAGTATTTCTGGATAAAAGTCCCCGGTCCAAAAAAATTAGTTCGGCCGCAATTTGGCCGGTTTTGATTTCAGTGCGGCCAATATCGGCAAAGAATATCGGGACGCAATGCGGGGTGTAAAATTGGTTTGTTGCGGCCCGATATCTTTTTAGACCAGGGTCGATAATTTTTGAAACCAAAAAAAATAACAGTAGGATGAAACCCATTGGAAAAGGAGAAGAATATAATAAAAATGAAAGGAAAAATAAATTACGGGCGATCTGACTTCGGTAAGTGGGAGGGGGGGGGTTTAAGGGTAAAAAATGGTTTATCTCGATTTCCGGCAAAACTACAAGTCCTATGGAAAAAAGTTAAATGGCAAAGTTGTAGGTAATAAAAGGATCTACAACTTTTGTAATTACAATTTTTTTACATAACCTCAAAATTTATGTGAAAAATTCAAAAAACCAAGTTTTTGGTTTTTTATTTTTCTTTTTCAAAAAAAATTTTTTTTCCACGAAATTTGGTGAAAACTTACCTTTTTATGTCCCAAATACACTGTAATTTATTTGATTTGAAATATTTATTATTTCGCCTAATTTTGACTTAATATCAAAAAAGCACCCTAATTTTCAATCGAAAATTCTCGCGTCAAAATATCAGCTTTTTTCAAAAAGTCGGTGTGCTTTTTGTTCGTTGAAATCTCTACTTTCTGATGGTGTAAAAAAATATACATTACTATGGTAAATGTTCTCAGAAAATATTATAATGTATATAATATTTTTTGAAAAAGATAAAAATAAAAAACCAAAAACTTGGATTTTTGAATTTTTCACATAAATTTTGAGGTTATGTGAAAAAATTGTAAATACAAAAGTTGTAGATCTTTTTATTACCTACAACTTTGACATTTAACTTTTTTCGAGATAAACCATTTTTTACCCTTAAAACCCCCCCCTCCCACTTCCCGAACTCAGATCGCCCGTAATTTATTTTTCCTTTAATTTTTGTTATATTTCCCTCCTTTTCCAATGGGTTTCATCCTACTGTTATTTTTTTTCTCTTTTTACCAATTTTAAAGGCTTCTGCACTGGTCTATTGCCCCTATCGACGCTCTCTATTGCAAGGGTCAAAATTGTGTAAATATTAAAATGAAAATACCATTTGATTTGTAATGAAAGGTTGTTATTATTATAAAGATATTGCATTATAATGTAACACAAATTTTATACAGCCTCCCTGATAGCAAAATTTGATTCTAAGAATCTTCTAAGAAGATATGACCCGAAATAATGGAATATTCTTAGAACCTTCCCTTATTGCTAAGAATGTTTTTAGGGACTTTTAAAACATTCAATAGATACCCTTTTAATGATGCAATTAGATTCTTAGAAGCTTCTTAAAACCTTCCTAAAAAGCATTCTAAGAACATTTTAAGAATACGTTCTTGGAATGTTCTTGGAAGGTTTCTTATGGAGCTTCTAGGAAGCTTTTGAGAATATTTCCAAATATGTCAGATACCCACGATCTAATATGTTGAATTCTCATTCGTAAAATTCTTCAGGAGGCGACAAATACGCCTCACTGTCATAACATGACAGTGAAATGTATTTCTCGTCCCCTTAAAAAAATTTCCGACATATTAATATATATTTATTTAAAAATATTAAATAAACAATTTGACCTTTAAACCATAAGTTGTATGACATTATTTCATAAAAAGTAAAATTGGAAAATTTTGTGGGATAAGTCAGATTAGATTGAAGTTGAAGATAGTTAGGATTATTATACATAAAAATGTTAATTCAGATATAAAAAATCGGTATATAATTAATAACTATTTATTTTTAACATAAAATACAAAACAAAATATTTCCTTATAAAATAATTCTTCATAAAAGAAAAAACCAAATAGTTCTTCATAAAAAAACATTTTTCATTGTATTTAAGTTGGATAGAAGATTTTATGTAAAAGCCGGATAGTTTAGATACCTATAGTAAAAGTATTTTTGTTATCGAATATTGTTTTAATTTGACAAATAACTGAGGGGTTACCCACACCTGGGAATCCCTGGACATTTTAGAGGGGGAATACCATAGGAATACAATGGAAATACATAGGAATACAATAAAATATAATGGAAATACATGGGAATCCCTGGACGTTTTCCCTTTGGGTGGTTGACCCCTCGCAAATAACTATAAAAAAATATTTTGGGTTGTGTTTTTTACTTAGTATTTAATACTAAGTATAGGTACCTTTATACGTAGATTATGGTATATTTTACTATTATATAGGTACCTAACTGAACTGAATATGCTTAACAGAATGTTCCAGGAATATTCCTAAATGAACTTTCTATAGCAATTACTTTCTCAACATTCTAAGCATATGTTTAGAGTGGATTAATTTTTACCACTAAACTTTGCACCTTCTAAGAACCTGCCTATAGGCCAGTGAGAATATTCTTAGGATTATGCTATATTTCTTTTAAGCATGTTCTTTAGAAGAAATATAGCATGATCCTAAGAATATTCTCACTGGAAGGTTTAAAAAACATTCTTAGAACATGACTAGAAGAAATATAGCATGATCCTAAGAATATTCCCGCTGGAGGGTTTAAAAAACATTCTTAGAATAAACTGTTCTATCAGGGCTTACTCTAGCTAATTGTAAATTTTCTTTATTACTATTAACACTTTAACTGCCGGCAACGCGGCTACCGCGTTCTTGTGTATTTTACAATATGCCGAGCACGCGGGACCCGCGTTCTGTACGGTAACATATAGCATGGTTTTTGTCGCTGGGTGCCGCCAACGCGTCTACCGCGTTTGTTTATTTGTTTTTTGTTTTAGTATTTTTTCATATAGAACCTTTCAATAAGAAACGAAAGAAACAACTTTAGTCCATTTTTATCTAAAATTTCTAAAAAAAACCATCGGCACTGCGATATGGGCGGACTTTTACGTCGGCAGTGAACGTGTTAAGAAATAAACCGTTTTCTGCAGCTGCTAGCCTAGCATCAGAAAGTTCTTCAATATATTCAGGCCCTTTTAAACAACAAATTAAATGTTATTAATTTATATAAATTATAATGGAAAAATACTATACACTGTATAGTATACAGGGTGCACCAAGTGTCCTTCTATGTATGGGTATATTTTTTATTTGAAGAGCTACAAGGTCGATTAATTTAAACAAAATTTACGTAATTATTAAGTATTAAAATGGCATTTAAAAATTTGAAAAAAAATTAGCGGTTCTCAAATTTCCATTGTAACGGGTGCGACACTAAAACTGCGTTTTTTTCATGATAATAAAGTATTTATTCATATATATCACGATACGTTAATATAAAAAAATAGTATACAAAATTTGGTATTTAATTCAAACAAAATATTAACAAAAACTTGTAAGTATAGAAAACCTTTTATAACGTCATGAATAGAGCGTAACGGGCGCGACCTTAGAAAATCGGCAAATGCAACCAATTGCCTTTTAAAGTTGATACTGTACAATTTTGGATGAAAGCATATAGTAATAATTTGTTGTGTAAAACTTGAATAGTAACCTTAAACAAGTACGTGTTTTAAATGCGCAACTATTGTATACTTTATTTTCTAAAAATTTTTCAAAACGTAACGGGTGTGACATTTGAACATTTTATTGAGTATATAAACACTTCCGTGTTTATTCTTAATGTTAGCTTCTTAGCATCGCAATGTAAGAATATTTTAAGGTTATAAATTACGTCGCAATTAAACTATTTGACTTCAGATATAGTTGTTATTTTGTTAAATAACACATCTGACTTTTTGTCAGGGGTAAGGTTTCGCGGAAATACCCAATAGTAGAAAAAAAAACTGAAAACCTGTCAAAACAAAAGATCGTTATATTTATTATTCCTGAGAATTTTGAAAAAAGTAAGTTTTACATGTAAACATGTACATTTATCTACATTTTCATCCAATTTGTGATTTTTCGCCCACTGGATTTTGAGGTACCACCACCATCTTTTATTTTCCTATGACCGCCATATTGAAATTTAACATGGTTAGGAATCCAACAAAGTATCAAACTACATAAGTTATGTTCTGTGAGTTATGGCGGCCATTATAAAAACAAAAGATGGTGTTGGTAACTTAAAACAAAGTAGCAAAGAATTTGGATGAAAATGTAGATTATTGTGTATGCTTACATGTACAACTTACTTTGTTTCAAAATTTCCAAGAATAAAAGAGTTAAAAACGAATTTTGGATTTAAAAGGATTTTAGATTATTTTTAATATTTTGAAAACCGCTGGCTTTTCAAATATTCACCTAACCCACAACCCACACAACAAGGTTCTTTAGCAGTTCGCACAGACTGAAAATCACCAAATATATTTGGTATACTTGCCGCCATATTGTTCCAAACACTTTTTAGACACAATATCGATTTTCTCAGCCGACCAATTTTACCTATATTGTAAACATTGCTTCCGTGTTTTTATAAGCAACACAAAAACAGTGTTTATAAATACTTTTCCTTGTGTTTTCTTTTGAATAACCAAATAAATCTCTAAATAATTCGGAATATTTATTTTAATCGCTATAGTTACCTACCATTTCTCTGCTAAAAGTGTTAAGTGTTAAGTTTAAAAAGTCTTATTAACTCTTCCAGAAGACTCCCAAATCTTGCCATTAGTATGACTTACTAAGACTTATTCAGAGTTTTTCCGACTTAATAAGTATTATTCTGACTTTTTCCGACTTAATAAGTCTTATTCAGACTTTTTAAAAGAAAGTAAGACTTTCAAAACTATTATTAAAATATCTCAGAGAAAAAATTCCACAAGGGTTTTGTTAATGTAAATGAAAACACAAAAGTATTTATAAACAATGTTTACAACCTATGAGGTTTGTTCCTACTGGCCATTTGGACAGTCAAATGAAAGTCAGGGACATGCGCAATACAAAAATCGTCCATTTCAAACAAGGCTGTATACTTTTCTTTGTATTTTATTCTCCAATAACCAAATACAACAATCAATAATTAATCTTTGTTTAATGACATGTTATTATTGTTCTGGATATGTTTGAGGAATACATAAAAGGACCAAACAATTAAACAAAAAATTGAGAAAATATGAAAAATAAAAATGTTCAATAAAAACAAATTTCAGACTTTACAACGAAGAGTTCGCATCAAAATTGGCAGACAACACCCCACCGGAGATAGTAAGAACGAACCTGACATACGCCGTCCTCCAGTTAAAAGCTCTAGGAATCAGTAACGTGGTGAAATTCAAATTTCCCAGCCCGCCTCCAATAGAAAACCTAAAGAGCGCCCTGGAAATCCTCTACGCGTTGGACGCAATCGATATAAAAGGAAATCTCACCAAACCTCTCGGTTACCACATGTCCGAGTTCGCTTTGGATCCGCTCTACGCCAAAGTGCTTTTAAGCTCCGGCGAATTCGGTTGCTCCGAGGAAATTCTTACGATCATCTCGATGCTACAAGTGGAGGTTATTTTCACGAAACCCTCGTCTGGCAAATCCAGCATCAATGCTAGAATACAAAAGAGGCTGTTTGAAGTGGAAGAGGGCGATCTTATTACGTATTTAAATGTCTATAACGGGTTTTTGCAAAGCGATATGGCCAGAGAGTTTTGCCATAAAAACTTTTTGAATTATAAATCATTAAAGAGAGTTGTGGAAATCCGGAGCAGGTTGCAAAAAGTCCTAAAGAACTATGATATACCCATAGTATCCTGTCAAAGTAAGTGTTACTTAGTATGACATACATTGTATGTATATTAGGGTGATTCCCCTATTGTAAATGACCGATAGAATCCAATAAAAAATAAGTAATTGGTTTGAAATGTGTTTTGGCGCTATGAATCACCAATTCATTCCAGTTGCATTTCTATTGGTAAGTTCCAATGAAGTCAGCAGCTTAAATTGGAATATACCAATCCATGCCTATGCTTGTCTCTATTGGATAAATCCAATAGAAATGCACCTGGAATTAATTGGTAATTCATAGCGCCAAACCCATTACAATTTGAACCAATTTATTTTTTTAAATTTGGATTAAAAATACCAGTTGATTTTTCATTCAAAAATAATTAAGATCCCAGCTGGGATTCTTCTAGAAGAATAACCGGGTAAAAAACAGAATTCATTTTTCACAGAAGAGACAAAAAAATTATTATAACTGAGTAACTTTATTTCTTTTTATTTTTTGTGTTAGTGAGATATGTATTGATACATTTAACTTACTATGATATGGTTATGATCATTTTTTTGTCTTTCTTGCAAAGGATGTTTGTAGGCATGGTCGAAATCAATATTATTTATGAATTTTTTTTTTTATTTTGTCCGCTGTAACCACCATTCTCACGCCATCGTCCCTAAACCTTACACATATAAACATTTTTTGAAGGTATATATACTTATACTTTACTTATAAGTACACAACTACCACTAAGCACAGAAACCCATAGATTATAGGTGAATTCACCGTAAACTCAAGGCCGCAAGGGTAACTTACTAACACAAAAAAGTAATAAAAAAACAAATAAAATTACTCGGTTATAATCATTTTTTTGTCTTTCAGCAAACGATGTTTGTAGGCATGGTCGAAATCAATATTATTTATGTCAAATTTTTTTTTATTTTGTCCGCTGTAACCACCATTCTCGCGCCATCGTCCCTAAACCTTCCACATATAAACATTTTTTTAAGGTATAAGTACACACCACTATAAGTACACAACTACCACTAAGCACAGAAACCCATAGATTATAAAAGAAACCGACAAATAAAAAAACGACATTAAATAGCGACCAAAGACTTGTTTGTTTCTTTATGATGGTGTCTCAACCATTTGAACAAGGACTGCGTACGTTGGTTTTGCGCAGCTACACGAGAGCCCTCTTGCAATATTTTAAAGTATTGGGAATAATCAATTAGCAGATTCCTTTTTAGAATCTCACACTGGGAATGCCCAATTGAATTCAATTGGAAATTACCTATGGGTAGCTTTAACAAATCGAAACCACTAAAAAACAGTATAATCCTAATCGGAGTATACCAGTAAAACCAATTTCTGTTTTATATCGCTCCCAATTAAACCCAGTAAGTCCAATTCAGACCTATTGATACCAACCAATACTTCAATTGGTTTCTATAAGGAATTAATCGGTTATTTACAACAGGGTCGTTTTGAAGGAACGTTTATTTTTTGTCTCTAATCAAGCAAAATATTTATGTACATACCTTAATATTAATAATAAATAATAATAATAACAGTTTGAAAAATAAAAGGTTTACAGACAGACCCCTCTAAAGTTTTAACCCTTAATTTTACTCTTAAGTACTTTTATTTTGATTTTAAAGTTTTCCCATTGAAATAACATGGAAAATTAAGGATTTTTATCAATTTCCAATAGCTTGGGGACTTTTTACGCTACTACAATTTACATTTGTACATGAATGGATGCTATTTCAAAGTATACTTGGAACAATTGTAATAAAATTCATATATTTAGACCTGTATGTCACTGAAGTCATATTTTTAATAAAAAATAATATTTTTACATTTTACGGAGAAACAGTTACAGGCAAAAAAAATATAGAATCATTCAATTTATAATATAATAAAATATATACCTAGTTTAAAAGATACAGAACATTTAATAAATTTGAGGCAAAAAGTAAACAAAACAAAATTTCGTACAAAAAAATTCATATGGATTAATGCAATAAAATGCATAGTTTAAAATATATAAAGCATTTAATAATTTTTACTGTCAAATATTGAATAAACTAATTAGTCCAGGGCCGGATTTAGGACGGGGCCAGCGGGGCCACGGCCCCAGGGCCCCCACCATTTAGGGGCCCCCACCAATGCAATATGTAGCTTTTTAATGAAACGAATATGAAAAAAATTATCCGAAATTATCGAAAAAATAAAAAATTGGGTCGGTTATACCGCGCGAATTCTGTAATTTTCAATTAATTTTTCGTAGATCTAACTATCAGACTCAAAGTTTTGGCGCGCGAAGACGTTTTTATGTAGTCTATAGTCATAAGTTATGACTCAAAACAATTGCTCCTTTAGTGCTTTTCGTAACTTTTTTGTAAATACAGGCAAACAGTCGATTACTTTAAGTAAGTAATTTACTTATAATCTAATATTAAAGTTAGTTTTTGTCCCAGATTTTTATTGGTACATTGGAGTGTTGTGGAATATTTTCCGGTGTTTCCGAAATAATGTTTCGTTCTTTTCTTTGGACTAAACATTGTTTTATTATTGATGATTTTGTATGAAAAACAGACAAATAATACTACTTTTGATGCACTTTTTTTCAGTTTGCGGTAAGTATTAAAAATACAAACAAAACATAGATCAATTTATATTTTACTTAGTAAAATTTATATAAGGTTATGTTCGTATTATTCAAAATATATAAAATATAAAGTATATACAAACACTTTCATTCACAATTCTATTCTACTATCTACGTTTTTATAGTTTTGCATACGAATTTATAATTTCTCAGACTTGGGTAAAATGTATATGGTTATGTTCGTATTATTCAAAATATACAGGGTGATTCAGACTTGTGGTGACAAAAGCTCAGTGGAAATTCATCAAAATATGAAAAAAAGTTCCTATAAACACGTGTCCGAAAAAGCTTCATTATCGAGATACAGGGTTTTTCGTTTAAAAAAAATTAGTTTTTTATTTATAGCTTAAAAACGCTTTGGCCGATTTTATTAAAAATTTATATGGTTTATTAAATAATAAATGATTCAAGGATAATAAAAAATCACGTTAAGTTCCTTTAGCTTAAAAGTTTACCATGAGTTTTAAAGTGTCAATTTTTTTTTAGAAATATTGAGGGCCCCCACCAAATGTCGGCCCCAGGGCCCCAAAACTCTTAATCCGGCCCTGAATTAGTCCTATGTTTTTTTACGGCACAAAAGTAACTGTTAAAGGTACAGCTATAAAGTAAAAAATACTTTTATAGGGTAAGTTTAATTTCCTACGAAAAATTAATGCAATAAAATGTATGGTTTAGAAGATTTAGAGCATTTAATAAATTTTATGGCCAACTATTGATAAAGTTTTTATAGGAATTGGTCCGTTAAATTTATTAAATGCTCTATATCTAAACTATGCATTTTATTGGATAAATGAATGGAATCTTTGTTATGGGAAATTAATTTTTTTATAAAAATCTTTTTTACTTTTAACCTGTAACTTTCAACGTTTTACCGTAAAAGGCAATAAATACTGTTTTTTATTAAAAATATGACTTTGGTGACGTCCACAGGTCCAAAATATAGGTTGTATGAAAATTATTGAAGTACTTTTGAAGAGCATCTAATTATGTACAATTCGCACCTATGTAAATTGTAGTAGCGTAAAATACCGTCAAGCTAGAAAATTTTAAAAAAATCCTTAATTCCCTATGTTGAAATAATAGGAAAACTTTAAAATCAAAATAAAAGTACTTAAGTTAAGGGCTGATACTTTATACTTTTAGGACATTTTTTTCTCTGTACATTAATATTTTGCATAAGTAGGGTGTTAATATTTACTCACATCTTCAGGCATTAAACTGAAACTATATATTACAGTTTTAGTTTAATCCCTGAAGATGTCTCTGGTATTAAGAGATGCAACATTGGATAATAACAATCCTGAAAATGCAGTTAACTCTAAATAAACGTATTATTTGTTTGTATTTATGCAACAACATTTAATTTTTAGGATCTACTGAGACAGTAAACAAATGTATAGTAAATGGCCTTTTTCCCAATGCAGCATATCTCCATGGCAGTGGAGTGTATAAGACTGTTCGAGGTGATATTGAATTGTATGTGCACCCTGATAGTGTTTTATATACAATAAAACAGCCCCAATGGGTTGTATTTTGTGAAGTGGTGCACACAACCAAATTGTACATGAGGGATATAACAGTAATCCAAAGTGATTGGTTGTTAGAATTAGCGCCACATTTCTACTACAAAACCTATTTGGAATAAATGAAAATGCATTCAATATTAACTTGTTTTATTTTAAGCCAAGTCTTTGCTTTTTCCTTTCTAAATACTCTTGTACATTATCAAACTTTCTTTTATACAAACCAGTAATAGAACTGCAGTTGTTTAAACATAAATTACTACAGTGTTTTATAGCAAAACCCTTTACAAAATCAGAGCTAAATTTATTATAACTGTCACCATTTAAAACATAACAATATAAAGTTTTACTAAGTATTAACAATTTACTGTCCAAACAAAAACCATAAACATTAACATCAGGTAAAATATGAGATACAAATGTGGATTCAAATGTTTTAATATTTGTAGTATACAATAGAATACCGTTTACACTGTAAAGTGAAAGAGCTATAAAAACATTACCACCATTAAATACCTGCATATCAGTTATTGGCAAAGAAGTAACATCAACTTTTTCTTCATCCATTTCCTTTGAAAAGGCCTCAATAAAAGTTGTATCTTTGATATTGCAATTTGAGTCTATTAGACCCAATTGGGTTCCATTCAAATAATTCCAAAACCGCACTGTTCCATCCCCAGATGCAGATATTAAAGTATTTCCAAGAATCTTTAAAGAAGTTACAAACTCTTTATGACCCAGGCAAAAGCTTAGAATATTATAAGCGTTGGGAAACATTGAAACTCTTATTTTTTCATCTCTATCACATGTAATGATATACTTCTCACAATTAGATAACACCACATCCAAAATTACACTTAAATGTCCCAGAATCAAAACTGGCTCATCTTCTTTCAATTTATATAAATAAACATCCCCAGTTTTGTCAGCTATTAGTACATCGTTTGCTGCTGTAAACAGAATTTTACTTGCCACTCGATTCACAATAAAATTCTTAATAACATTCAAAGACTTATCAAACACCACTACTTGCTTATTTTCCGTTGTAACAGCAATATATTCTTCACACTTTGAAAACGTTAACGACGTTATGGTCCTATCTTCTTTTTTCAATACATCCATTTGCCCTTTCGTTAAATTTTCTGGCAGTATAGGTTCAGGTATCTTAAATATTGAATCTGTTTCCGTTTCTAAATCAAATAATACGACACTTTCTTTGGAGGCTGCCACATAATCGTTGTTTACTTTCTTTAATAAAACCATTTTCGTGAAAACCACAAGAAAACTTTACAACATAACCTACAAAAACACGTGAACATTGTTGCCAACTGATTTTACCAATTTAGTGAATTGAGTTTATTTTCAAAAGTTTCTGCGTCCCATTGTGTTCACCCGTCAAAAATAGATCATTTTTTTTAATTATAGGGGCTATATATTTAAGTTGTTAAAACACTCCAATCAGATGAAAATTGCACAAAATTCCACACAAGTATAAGGAATTACTTACAAATTGGCAACGCTGCATGTGAAAGCCAGTTCTACTGGCCCGATAGTTCTAATAAACCGTTTGGGAATATGAAATGTCAGATTGATGTCTGTCAAATGTATTTATTTACTTGTATGTGCCACTTTAACATGTGAACGATAATATCGTTACGATATGGCTCATGAAAATGTGTTAAGAGAATGGGCCCCACTGACTGACTTATTTCAGAAACTGCCGATAAAATCAAAAATAGGATTGTTTAGCCAAGAAATCAAAATAACATGTCTTGATGTTTTGCCAGAGTTTTTAGCTTTGGGCACCAATTTAGGTATTGTTTATTGGTATGATAGGAAGAGAAAAAATTTAGAACGATTGCGTTGCGAGGTAAATGACTTTTATATTAATCAGTATATATAATAGTTAATGATTAATTTGTTTTAAAGAATGCAAATACTGCAATAACAGTGGTAAAAATTATATCAACAGTTGATTACATGGTAGCTTGTGGGAATAAAGCTGGAAATATTAGTATTTTTCAAGTACCCAAATCGCACCCAACATCTTTGCCTGAAAACTTGAAGCCAAAAAATAAGCAAGTTGAAAGATACACTGTTTCTGATCTGCACAGGTCTTCAATTACAGTCATGGAATGGTCAAAAAATGGAATGAAGCTATTTTCTGGAGACAAAGTGGGTGGAATAGTTTTGACTGAACTGGATTTTTATATGGTAGGTACACATTTATATGAATTATTAATTTTCTTGTTTATTAATAAACTAATTGTAGCACATATGTAAATCAATAGAAATAATTAATGAATCTTATGAAGTAATTCAATTAAGTTATAACCAACAGAGACTTTTGGTTTCTACTACATATAGAAGTATAATATGCCAACAATATGATAAATGGAAGATTTGCCAGGTTGGGAAAAAAGACAGAAAAGTGTAAGGACTAGCCAAGTAAAAATACTCATTTAACAATAAAAAATATGTTTTAGTTTAGGAAATTTTGGTGGAATTATCCATCAGGTTGGTTTGAAAAAAGATGATTGTGTTTTATACTGCACCAGACCTGGATTAAGGATATGGATATCAGATATAGATGGCAATGTTCAGAAAACTTTACTTTTTAAGGTAATAACTAACAAATCCTTATAAACATATAATAGCAACTAAGGAAAACTATATTTTAGGAATTGCTCTCAAAGGAATGTTTGGAAGTTTCATTAATTAACCCAATATCAAAAAATTTGCGATCTCTTAGACCTCAGAAAGAACCTTGTTTTTCAACTTTACTTCCATTTAATGATGATTTAGTAATTACTCATAATGGAGATGTTATTTATATTTTAGACCCTACTGAAATGATAATTTTATACACAATTAGTCATTTACGGGGGTAAGATATATTAAGAAAGCTTTAACTATTTTATTGCTTTTGTTTCTAGTGTTTTGGACATAGCCACCAATAAAGATGAATTTTTTGTTTTGGAAGAAGATAGAAATATAATAAGAATCTCATTTAGGCCGGAAGTGGATGATGGTAAGTGTAATACATTTAATTAATATTAATAACAATTATGTGTCCAAAAATATTTAGAATACCTGATTCATAAATTTAAAGTTTTTATACAAAACATGGTAGTTTTTACACTTAATAAAAAGCGCTATTTTTGGGACACTTTGTATTTAAAAAACGCTCTTTCTAGTATATACTAGTATATATAGTTTAATGACTAGTAGTAAGGTAACTATTAAAAAAAATCCAAATTTTTAAAATTAGAAAATAATGTGTCTTAGTAAAGTTTTTCACTTGTTTTAACAAAACATCCGTTATGGCATTGATATCACTTTCATTTTAATATATTATGGTTGATTAAATGTGGTATACCTATAGGTATATATTTATTAGATAAGGATATTCCACTTTAATCGGAAATTGTTATTCCTACCGTCACAATACAATTTCTGAAGGTCGGAATAAAAATTCCCGATTATCATTGAATATCTGAACTAATAAACAAACCATATTTAATCCACCATAATAAATACTTTACTTATCTTTTACATTAATTAATATACATTATCGTGAAATTTAATACCTACTAAAACATTAATAAATTATTTATTTATAAGTAAAACATAAAATTTCAATTTTAAAACTGTTTATTAATAAATGAAATCCATAATATTTAAATAAATAAAAACATTATTTTAAACTTAATAAAAAATATTTAAAATTAAACTATATAATGACAAATAAGTTAACTTAATTTTTTTGTAATCCCATTAACTTGATACTGAAAATTTCCATATATGGATCATTATGGTAAAATATACAAATATTAGCCTGAAAAGGGTCATTACAAGACCTTATCACAACAGTATTTTATAAAAAATTAATATTTTTATTAAAACCTGTAAAGGCCCAGTACAAGGAAAGCTTTGGCTAAAAATGCCATTATTAAGCCATGCAACTATGTAATGGGTCATTACATAATCAGACTTATGTATTTGCTGGGAGTGTATATATATAGTAAATTTAAAAGTAAACTACGTACACGTCATCAATCAGCTGATCGGGCACGGTTGTCAATGTGATGCTAAAATCCTTGCATCAAGGGAAAGTGGTAGTGCAACTACAGGGCGATAGATGGCGTTTAGATAAATAATAATACCAAAATGTCAAAAGTCTGAGTTTTTATAACCTATATGATGCACCGCCAAAAGTATGTTTTTAGCCATTTTTAAAGACATTTTCTGATATAAAACCCAAAAATTTTGCCATCTAAAGTCAGTCTCTGGTATATATATTATTATTTCATGTATCCAACATATATTTTGTTAAATATTCTAATATATAATTAATAATAATCCTATTTACCTCTCTAACAGCTGTTAAAGGTAACAAAGGTCCATTATTATCCCGTTCTGCCTCAAAATAGCGTATTAAGGATGACACCAACTCTTGACTCCGACTATTTAAATGCTTCGGCATTTTAAATATAGGAAACACAAAAAAACGATATATAACAAACACAAAAACGGCAATGAAAACTTAAACGATATAAAATAACACAAACAACAAACGAAATAATACACGAATTAAATGAAATATTCAAAAACACAACTGACAGCTTCGAAATTTTAAAACGTCAAATTCTTTTTTATGTGTCATTTAAATATGAAAAATTTGAATGTAAACATGACAACATCACAATTGTTGCCAACTTAATTTGGTTAAAATGCATTCAAATATTCAATTACAGACTCCGATTTAGTCATTTAGTGTTGGTACCAATGCGTAAAGTTTTTGTTTTATTGATGACGTGTACGTAGTTTACTTTTAAATTATAATATTATCAATTGAAAAATGAAGATGCTGAGAAACTTGATTTAAATGAAGTAACTGAGTTTACTAAAAGAAAAGCAAAAAAAAATGGTATATTATTATACAAAAGATAATCCAGGCTATTATTCACGAGGATTAGGTTTGTGTCTCGAGTCGCCAGACGAGAGACTTAAATCATCTGAGTGAATAATGCGCATAATCTTGAGTGTAATACTTTATATACTTCAATAAGTTGATAATTAAATGATTTTCAAAAATAAATAAATAAAATCTGACAACTGTCAAATGTTTAACCTCACTTTTTACCAATTTTAAATGTTATTATAGTCTCCCAATTTAAAACCCGATTGGTTCAAATCACAGTGAATATTGAAATCGGCCAATCACTGATGCCTAACAACGTGAATAATGAGTTTATTATTCCCATTGTTAGGCAGGGTATTTATAATGTTTATCATTATTCACGAAAAAAAAACAATATCATGCAATGGGAGTAAATAAAGATTTTTAATTTGTTTTAAACCTGCTAGTCATACCTAGTGTGCAATCATTGACTACTTCTTCACTCAACGGTGCAATAATGTTAAATAATAGTATATTATGTATAAAGTTTGATAAACGCCATTTTATACACGAATTTAATTTAGGCACGAGCGAGCTTGCGAGCGAGTGCTTAACCTAATGAGTGTATAGAAAAGTTTATAAACGAGGTGCATACTATACTTTTTCTACGACAAATACTTATTATTATCTTAAAATTATTTAATTCAAAAATTTGTATAGAGAGCCATCTATGAAACAACAGGGGAAACTGTCAAATGTCACATTTTTACATTTTATAAAGACAATTATAAAGGTTATAAATCGAAATGTATCTTGAAAATTGACAGTTTTTCACAGTGAAAGTAAAGGAAATGTTTTATGAGGACTTTACAGTAGAGTCCGTGCCCGAATTTAAGTTATAGTTTACTGCCGGCGAAATTAAAAGGTCAGTACAATGTTCATATAAACTTTTCAAATATTGGCGTTGAGAAACTATTTAATATTTTTGTATTGAGATAATAAAATAATTTTCACATTTAGTATTATTTTACAAGAAAGGCACTTTATTTTAACGATTGTATGACATTTGACAACTGTCAACTAACTTAAAACTAACTTCAGCCCGTGACTAAAGGTCACTTAGTGTCATGGAAACATGTACGATAAAGGGCGTTTTAAAGGTGGGAGTAGAAAAAATATTTTAAATAATTATTTAAGGTTTTCTATATTTTTTTTATCAATCTCAATTGTCTACAATGTTTTTTCTTCTGTTTTTGTTGGTTTTTATGATTTTTTGTGTAAAGTCAGCATATATGTGTGGCCTTGATTTAAAAAAAAAATCGGCGGGCCCTTTCTTGGGGAAAATATTTTTTGGGGGACGCTAAACAAATTTTGCCCTGGGGCGTATAATCAGTGGCGTAGGTAGAGGTATACCTACGCCCCTGATTATACGCTCGCAATCAATAAACAAAGTAAGCTATTAGTGTAATGAAAATATTGTTCCACTATAGTGCAATTGTGTAATATAAATTATGGGTGGAACAACAAAAAATGTGGATAAGGGTGTTATGTCACAGTATATGTGGTTGTGCCGCATTTTTAATAATAAAGAACAAAAACATGAATGTTTCTTATATAAGAATATTGGAATTGTAATTTAAAATTTATTTTTAATTAAAACGTAAATTTTAATTATTTGTCATGAACCCTTTACCAAGGGAAGTAATTAAAATTAAATTACAATTTCCAAGTTTTCTATTCTTTATTATTAAAAATGTGACATAACACCTTTATCCACTTATTTCTTTAATGGTGGATTTATGCAGCACAAATTAACATTAAGTTAAGATTAACATTAAAAAGTTAAAATGAATGTAATACTATGGAAGCATTTATACATTAACATTAAGCCCATTATACCCTCCTATTGGTTAAATTAATGTTAATGTTAATTTTAATGTTAATTTGTGCTGCATAAATCCACCGTAACTGTAAATATTTAATATCTTTTACATACAAATATACATATACTATACTTACATAAATATAATTTTAAACATTGTTCACATATTAAATTAAATTCACAACTAAATTTTAAAGGCAAAATATTCCAAAAAACACAAAAAAACAATAACCTTAACCTCAAAACTAGAACACATCTGTCAATAATACCATTAAGCACGGTCTATGGGTCTTGCAACTTTAAGCTTCGAGGTGGCTTCCTTAACGTGCCCAGCCGCTAGGTGGTGCTAAGATCGAAGGGTGAAGTCAATTAAATGAACTACTTAGTTAAATGTGGAACTACTGTATAACCATAACCTAACTTTTTAAATTCTTTTTCTATGTTTTGTTTACATTTTCAAAAATTTAATATTTGTGAGTTTGTTTCGGATAATTTACGTTAACAAAATAGGACAACAAAGTCTATACTCTATGCACAAAGTCTTCGGCCGTCACATGCCCAGACCAAACATGTAAGTAAAACATGTTAATGTATAAAATACATACGTATATCATATATATGTTACGGCTAATGTGTAAACATGGATAGTTTATAAAGTAGCTGGGTAGTTTATAAACTAGCCAAACTGTCAGCTATTTTAATCTAATTAATAAGTAAAAACTCCCTGTAACAAAATACACAAGCTTGTTTATAAAAATGTAGGTTATGTTTCTTAACAGAACATAAGTAGGTAGTTCATTTGACCTTTTATCCCATAGACTTTAAGGACTTAGAGCCGGTTTTACAATAGTTAGATTAAGTTAGCTTATTTGGCGGATAACTTTCATAGAAACCTTCTATCTAAGAAAATTATCCACCAGAGAGCTTATCTAACGATTGTAAAACCCAAAGATAAAGAAGGTAAAAACGACCTTTAAACATCTATGGTTCACCCACAACTCGATGCGCCATCTGGTGGGTGTCTCATTAGAGATGTCACTTTTCCTATTGAAATTGGGCGAAGCAGTGCTCGGATATTTGAAACCGTGTATAGGCTTACTCTGTCTTGCCTAAGCATGCTTTCTCTGTCTTGCCTGCTCGGCTCGCGCCGTCAGTGGGCGAGGCGTATGCTATACGGGGTTTTTAAGGACATTCCAGGTAGAGCGTATTTTTCGTTCTTGCGTTCGAAAATTTGTTTCCAGTTATATTATTATAATATATATTATTATATATAATTATTATTATTATATATAATTATTAATATTATATATATTTATATAATTATTATATTATTCTAGCGGGCATTTCAGGACTCTTGGATAAAACTTCATATTTCAACAAGAGTTGAAGTTTTTGTTTTGTTTTGACTAGATTTGACTCGATATATATGTATAGAAATTTTCAATAATTCACATAGCTCGCCGCAGGGTAAAATTTTTGATGCACTATTTTGATAATTCTATTTTAAATTTTTTTTTTCAAAATCTTTGAAAATTTTTAAAACTTTTGAATTGCTATTAGAAGCGCTCACATTTCAAGTATAAGTCTGCAAAAAATCAGAATTTTAGATTGTATTCTAGAATTAATACAACGGTTAATGTTACGAATCACCCACACTTATAGTGGAATACAATCGCTTCGCCGTTTGCAATTAAAATCTTGCATAAAAATTCATATTTCAACAAAAGTTAAAGTTAGCAAATTAATTTTTTTTTATAACTTTATCAATGTTTTAACTACATTTGACTCGATATATATGTATAGAAATTTTCAATAATTCACATAGCTCGCCGCAGGGTAAAGTTTTTGATGCACGATTTTGATAAATCTATAATGGAATTTTTTTTTTTTTCGAAAACCTTCAGAAATTTTTAAAATTTCTGAATTGCTATTAGAAGCGCTCACATTTCAAGTATAAATCTGCAAAAAATCAGAATTTTATATTGTATTCTAGAATTAATACAACGATTAATGTTACGAATCACCCACCCTACAGCGGAATAAAATCGCCGTGTGAATTTAAAATTCTTTTTAAATTTTATTACGCAAAATATGAAAATTTTCCAAAAAATTTGTAATTTTTAATGCCAAGAAATCAATTTTTCTAAAATCTGTTGCAGATACAAACAAAGAAATAATAATAATATTTTTGGGACACATTTTTTTTCAAAAATCACTAATTAATTAATTAATCATATAACTACAACAGAAAATGGTTAGTACAAGTCGAAAAGATAAACTAAAAGTATACTGAACATAAATTTGCTAAAATATAAGGATGATATTTTTTAACAAAATTTGTTAATATTTAATATTTTTTAATATTTTGATTTGCTAATATTTAATATTTCTATTAAAAAAAAATCAATAAAAATATTTTATATTGATTTCTTGGCATTAAAAATTACAAATTATTTGGAAAATTTTCATATTTTGCATAATAAAATTTAAAAAGAATTTTAAATTCACACGGCGATTTTATTCCGCTGTAGGGTGGGTGATTCGTAACATTAATCGTTGTATTAATTCTAGAATACAATATAAAATTCTGATTTTTTGCAGATTTATAATTGAAATGTGAGCGCTTCTAATAGCAATTCAGAAATTTTAAAAATTTCTGAAGATTTTGAAAAAAAAAATTTCCATTAAAGATTTATCAAAATCGTGCATCAAAAACTTTACCCTGCGGCGAGCTATGTGAATTATTGAAAATTTCTATACATATATATCGAGTCAAATGTAGTTAAAACATTGATAAAGTTATTAAAAAAAAATTAATTTGCTAACTTTAACGGTTGTTGAAATATGAATTTTTATGCAAGATTTTAATTGCAAACGGAGAAGCGATTGTATTCCACTATAAGTGTGGGTGATTCGTAACATTAACCGTTGTATTAATTCTAGAATACAATCTAAAATTCTGAATTTTTGCAGACTTATACTTGAAATGTGAGCGCTTCTAATAGCAATTCAAAAATTTTAAAAATTTCTAAAGATTTTGAAAAAAAAATTTTTTAAAATAGAATTATCAAAATCTTCCATCAAAAATTTTACCCTGCGGCGAGCTATGTTAATTATTGAAAATTTCTATACATATATATCGAGTCAAATGTAGTCAAAACATTGACACAGTTTTAAAAAAAAAATGAAGTCACTAACTTCAACTCTTGTTGAAATATGAAGTTTTATCCAAGAGTCCTGAAATGCCCGCTAGAATAATATAATAATTATATAAATATATATAATATTAATAATTATATATAATAATAATAATATAACTGGAAACAAATTTTCGAACGCAAGAACGAAAAATACGCTCTACCTGGAATGTCCTTAAAAACCCCGTATAGCATACGCCTCGCCCACTGACGGCGCGAGCAGAGCAGGCAAGACAGAGAAAGCATGCTTAGGCAAGACAGAGTAACCCTATACAGGGTTTCAAATATCCGAGCACTGGGGCGAAGTTGCAAGACCTGTATATAAGACCGTGCCATTAAGGATAGTACAAAAAGTATGGCTGCTTGACAGACTGTATAAAAAAATATAAATACAAATAAACAACAGAGTTGCATTAATAAAGAAGCCCCGTAAAAAACAGTTCACACTACGATTTGTTATTTTTTATTTAATTTTTTATTTGATTGTGGGATAAAATTATATGTGAAACTCGTGAAGAATAGTCGACGATTTGATCGCGTGTCAAACGAATCCTCGTTCATAATCAATCATTTTCATAAGTTGCATAATATACTTCATAATAACAAGATATTTTTACCTTAAAAAGTTATTAGAAACCTAAAAAATTTACATTTCACAACACTGCTAGTCTCGAAACACTAAGCTCCGCCCCCCTGCCTGAGACGAATACTTGTATATTGCTTTCTAATATAAATTTCTTATGTGGGTTTAGTTCCTGAATCTCCTGTGGACAACACGTTTTCTCCAATCTCATCATCAATAAAAGACTTAACCACGAAACTCCAAGCAAGCAGCATAATGTCAATGATACCACCCTTGCTGGAACCCTCGACCAGCGTAAACATTCACACCGACGAAACTCTGATAATGAACGCCGAAGAAGCGACAGAATCTCCGAGAAGGAATCGCCCACCGGTCACCGAGGAGGTTCAAAAATCGTTCGACGACATCGGCAAGATAGAGTTCAACAACAAGATACTCTTCAAGAAAACCAAGAAGAAAAAGCAGTCCATGTCGGCGAGCACCAACAGTTTGAGCTCAAACAGTTCCGAAGAAAAAGATCTGAGCTTCACCCGGCCAACTATAATGAATCTCAGCACAGTTGGCGTGCTTCCGGACCTGCGCAGTCCTGAATCCATTAAAAACGATATCGAGTACAAAGAGCGAATTTTAGCGGATGTTTTAAATTTAGATAAGGTTACGATTAATTTGGATAAGTTAAATGAAGCCAATGACAAACCTGATTATATTGCTAATGCTGTGATCAAAGTTAAAGATTATCGAATGGAAACGAATGATAGAGAAGTTGTGGATGGAAAAATGGTGAATGGTGAAAGAAAGGTCGAAAAGAGTTTTAATGTTCCAATCAAACCGCTTTCTTCAATTGTAAAAACGCAAAATACACCAGGTAAGAATAAAATTACTAAATTGTTATATCAGTCTATAGTATTTTATTCACACTAAGTTTGTATATTTTATTATGGAAATAATGTTTTTTTTTCAATGCTCTCATTGATGTAGCGCTAAAGAGTGGTGAGTGAGTACACTTTTAAAACAGAATTTCTCATAATAATTTAAATGATAATTTCAAATTATTACTTTCAGATTGTAAGCATATCCCTAATGAATGGAGGCTTTCGGATATTCAAGTTAGTGGTAATAGTGCATCTGATACATCACTTACAGATTGGGAAATATTATAAATAGGGTTTTAGCTTTTGAACTATTAAATATATTCTTTTTAATTTTAGCACATACCATTCCTTATAGTTTATTTTATAAATTTTTTACAAGTACTTTTTAAATCCTAAGAAAATATATTTAAATCAATATATTTGCATTAGATCTGTCTGAATCTTGTATCTACAGTGTGTCCCCAGATAGGGGATAATCACTTTTTGACGTATCTGTTAACAAAAAGCTACTATCGTTAAAATCATAGCCAAGAATTTTTAAATTTGGTATATGGGCCTAGATGGTGATTCTAAAGAACTTTTCTTTTTTAACTTTTGGTCAATTCGGCAACAAGAGCCACTTTACTCTGGAGAAAAACAGTTTTTTTATACATTTTCAAGACATCCTTGATTTTTTTTTAACTGAAATTATGATAAAAATTAGTATTCACCCAGAACCCCAAAAAATGAAAATTTAAATTGGGAATTGGGAACTATCTGGGGACACAATGTATACTAATGTTTAATTTTTTAGAGTTTTAATTTTAAATGTGATATTATAAATTATAAACCTGGACAATTGTTTTAAAACTATGCTAAAACATAATTCTAATGTATACAGGGTAGTCCAGGTTATATTATCAGAATTTTTTCAGTCAATAGTTTATTAAAAAATTAAAGGTACCATATGGTACTACCATATGCATAATGAGTATGAGTATACATGGTTTGTTAAATACAAAATGGTAGAATTTTACTTCCTCTGAGATACGGGATTTTCAAGAGAATATTTTTTTGTTATTTATTATATAGGTATAAGACGATTAAGTGTTATTTTATTGTTGACAAAAACAGGGCTCCCACACTTTCTAAAACTCATAAAATTGCCATCAATCTCCTAAAACTCCCAAAAATTAAATATAAATAGGCCAACCTGACCAAGGTAATTTAAAAAATATATATTTTTAGGTTCTATTTTATTAAATTCTTTTTAAAAACAACAAATAAAATTAAATGTGGTGAAATTCCTTAGATACACTTCCCGTAAAAATTAACGCATAATAATGTAATTATAATTTAAAATAGTTTACAGGACCAACCTATGTTACGAGCATTTAATGCTCCCTATAGGTCCTTATTGTATAATGTACAAAAGGAATTTTGGAATAAATATTATTATTATTATTAAGTAAAAAAATTCCAACTCTAAAACGCCATTACCAATCTTTATGAAATTTTGTATAAAAATACTTCAACTTATATCTTGGTTTACGTGTTCGAGGGTTTTAAAAAAAAATCCCTTTTAAAATAAAAAATGGAAGGCAACCTTTTTTATTCGTGCACTAATAAAAAAGGTTGCCTTCCATTTTTTATTTTAAGAGGGATTTTTTTTAAAACCCTCATGAGTATATATATGCTATATAGCAAATTATTTAAAAGATTAAATTTTCTTTAAAACTCTGTAAGTATATCAAAGAAGAAGCAAAATTTGACAATATTTTATTTGATAAACTACCTTTATTTTTTGATAACCTGTTGGCTAGTAAAATTCTGAAGATATAAACTGCATAATCCTGCAGGGTGTATATTAATAAGAAAATTACTATTAACATTTTGATGGAAAATTATTCTATATTTAAGCCCGTATAACAGTCCGCAATTCTTATTGCAGCAATTTTTTTTGCCTTTAAGTTTTATTGCATGTTATATTACACTCTTGATTTTCAATGGCAACTTGGGTGATATCAACCAAAGAAAAATATAAAATTTTGTTGTTTTTGTTATATTTACATTCAATAAACATTGAGTAAATAGTGTGTTTGGTGAACAATTTAGGAGTGTGTTGTGAGTTCACTTTGGTATACGTTGGTTTTATATAAACATATGTTAAAAAAAATTGCTCTGGGGAATTTGTGTTGATTGGGTAAACCAGGACGGTTGGTATGGGTTAGACTGCATGTAGCAAATGGCAATAAAAATCATTTTCCATCAGGACAGGACCGTCACAGCCTTATTGGGCCGCGCGCGCGGGAGCAAGTTTTCAATGCTTATTGTCCGGATTCGTAAGGCACATGCGCAAATGTTCCCATTTGTAAACACACTGAATGAATTGTCGGTTACCCATATAGGAGTGATAGATATAGCATTTTACACACAGCCCTATTGTAAATGACCGATAGAATCAAATAAAAAATAAGTAATTTTTTTTAATTGGTTTGAAATGTGTTTTGGCGCTATGAATCACCAATTTATTCCAGTTGCATTCCTATTGGTAAGTTCCAATGAAGTCAGCGGCTTAAATTGGAATATACCAATCCATGCCTATGCTTGTCTCTATTGGCTAAATCCAATAGAAATGCACCTGGAATGAATTGGTTATTCATAGCGCCAAACCCATTCAAACCAATTTGAACCAATTTATTTTTTTAAATTTGGATTAAAAATACCAGTTGATTTTTGTTTCAAAAATAATTAAGATCCCAGAAGAATAACCGGGTAAAAACCAGAATTCATGTTTCACAGAAGAGACAAAAAATTATTATAACTGAGTAACTTTATTTCTTTATTAATTTTTTGTGTTAGTGAGATATGTATTGATACATATAGGTATAGTTATAACTTACTAACACAAAAAAGTAATAAAAAATAAATATAATTACTCGGTTATAATAATTTTTTTGTCTTTCTAGCAAACGATGTTTGTAGGCATGGTCGAAATCAATATTATTTATGTCAATTTTTTTTTATTTTGTCCGCTGTAACCACTATTCTCACGCCATCGTCCCTAAACCTTCCACATATAAACATTTTTTTAAGGTATAAGTACACACCACTATAAGTACACAACTACCACTAAGCACAGAAACCCATAGATTATAAAAGAAACCGACTAATAAAAAAACGACATTAAATAGCGTCCAAAGACTTGTTTGTTTCTTTATGATGGCGTCTCAACCATTCGAACAAGGACTGCGTACGTTGGTTTTGCGCAGCGTCACGAGAACCCTCTTGCGATATTTTAAAGTATTGGGAATAATCAATTAGCAGATTCCTCTTTAGAATCTCACATTGGGAATGCCCAATTGAATTCAATTGGAAATTACCTATGGCCCATAGGCTATGGCCCATAGCCTATGGGTAGCTTTAACCAATCGAAACCACTAAAAAACAGTATAATCCTAATTGGACTTTTCCATATTTTAAAGTATTGGGAATAACCAATTAGCAGATTCCTTTCTTGAATCTTACACTGGGAATGCCCAATTGAATTCAATTGGAAATTACCTATAGGTAGTTTCAATTGGTTAAAGCGACCAATATATTGGTCGCTTTAACCAATCGAAACTACCAAAAAACAGTAGAATCCTAATACATCATGGAAAATACGAGTAAAATCCAATTTCTGTTTTATATCGCTCCCAATTAAACCCAGTAAGTTGAATTCAGACCTATTGATACCAACCAATTGGTTTGTATCAATAGGCCTGAATTGGACTTACTGGGTTTAATTGGTTGGTATCAATATATTGATACTATAGCTATAGCTCTGAATTGGACTTACTGGGTTTAATTGGGAGCGATATAAAACATAAAATTGGTTTTTATTGTAGTATTAATACTTCAATTGGTTTCTATAAGGAATTAATCGGTCCCCAGATAACCAAAGTTTCTTAGTAAACCTAAAGAAACGCGTTGTCGGCAATAACAAGCTGGCATATTTCATGCAACAGTAAGCCAATAAGTTGGAAGTCCAAAACATTTCCCGTCAGTTGCATGCAAACTGCAAGAAAAATGTTTAGGCCCAAGTTTGACACGTATTTCCAATAATTTCTGATTAAGAGTTTTATTCAACAGAGGTGTAACCGACGGGCAACACATTTCCTAAAATACCTTGTTGGTCAGTTGCATGAAAACTGCAAGAAATTTGTTTCCGCCCAAGATAGCCGCTTATTTTTAATAGATTCCAGTCAACAATTGTATGCAACAGAGGTGCAACGGCCAACATATTTCCCACAATAAAGAACCGCGCTTGCGCGAGAGTCCCCGCTACCGTTGCTCACCATTTGTTCTTTATAATTTATGGTTTGTTCTGCGAGTGTGTGTACGACGCAGGGTTGCCAACCGTACTAGAATTATAGTATTTCTACTATAATTTTATGTCGGTGTACTATGTACTATAGCAAAGTATTATAGTACGTTAAAATACTATAATTTTAAATAATAGTATTATTATTATTATAATAATACTCACTTCTTAAAAAAATCTATAATTTTTAAAAAAGAAAACTGTAGAATTTATAAAAAAGAAAACTGCAAAATTTGTATTTTCGCGCCCTCTTTTATGCAAAAGCAAAACTAGCCACATGAAATACCGTGGTGCGCATTAGCGCGGCGCGTGCATTTATTCTCTTATTTAACTCTTTTTCTATGATTTAACTGTTATCACAGAAAAAGATTTTTATAGGTTATACGTGTAAATACAGTGTGTACATTTTATGATAAAGGGTATGTGTTACGCCACTGTACACAATTCAGGGTTACCAACAGAATGAACAATGACAGCGTGGTAATAGAATATACGTAGACGTTAATTATCATAGTTTGTTAAGTAAATATAGTTAAATAAATAGTATTTAAGTAAGTTCAGCACAGTGTTTCTCTACATATACAACAGTATGTACTATGCTCCACACCTCAAAGTCCCACCACGTTACCACGTACGGAACGCAGTCTTTTGAAAATTTGGCATTTAAGGCTTTTTAGGTTATGTATCTGTCAAAGTATATTCAACGAAAGAAATAATACTATGTTTAGGCGTTAAAAATGTATAAATCTTTATAACATTACAATAACAATGGATGGTGCCAAATAAGTAATATTTTTGTGAATTTGGCCCAAATATATAATAATTTTAAATAAACAGCATTTATTAAAACAAATCTAGCTTCTCTATTATGGAATAAGAATATCTGTTTTAAAGGTAGGTTAATATATTATAACAAAAATATCATCTAATTTTGTAATTTTAAGGTTAGAAAAATTTATTTTGACCAAAATAAATAAGTATTTTGGATTATTTAAAAGACTGTATAATATGGTATTTAAAAATGTCGTAGTTTTTCTTATCCAGCTTAAAGTGTACCTACATAAAGTTTTGTCAATACAAATAGTTAAAAAGCTTTGACTGAACTTGATCTACATCGAAAAATCATTATAACTTTAAAAATTTTAATAAATCACATGTCATGGGAGTATTAAATATTTTCACATTGCAAGTTTCTCTAAAAATTGTTTGTTTTCATATAATCTAACTTAAAGTAGGTATGCCGAGAGGTATGCACAAGTTTTATCATTAGAAGTATAAAAGCTTCAATTTAATTTGAACCATATTCAACAATTATTTAGTACGTATACCTATATTTA